AGTTAGGAATATTCAAAGAATACATCCTTGATTTTAATAATCACTACACAATTTCTAAAATGTTCTCAAAACATCATAGTCAGGGAATAAATACAGGCCTGGAAAACGAATGGTTTGCATTAGGTTTGCTTAGCTGGGTGGCTAAAAATAAAACAATCAAGCATGTTATCAGTATGCTATAGGATCAAACAGTAAAATTTACTATTACTGTGTCTATAAAAATATACCTGATTATAAAACGTAGTATCAGATAGGTACCTCAGAGCCTCTTCTATGTTAGAAGTGGCCCCAAAAGCACAATTGTGTATTTACTGGTTGTCACTCACAGTTTGTAACAGAGTGTGAATTAGAATCTAGGTCTCCTGTTTCAGGTCCAAAAGTATTCCCACTACATGTCTCACTTCTAACTTAATCCCAACACTTTCATCCAGCTCTAACCACAATCTTAAATGCCCTTCCCTAATTTCCATCTGCCTCTTGGACAGTGCCAAGACCTCAAACAGGTCCACCACTTAATTTTCTATCTTCCTTCACCCTCAGACTATTTCTGTTAACCATGCTGGCACTCTCCCAAACAGGCTGTAAATCTCTCTACCCACCAGTTTCCAAATTCTGTTGGTTTGCCCTTTAAATTTCTCTCCCATCAGACTTGAGGAGAAATGCCATAAAAAACCAAGAATTATTGTCTAAAGCTATAATTAGGCTGGAGTTGAGGGTAGGAAGCTGGATGAGTTTAGGCTTTATAGATGACAACCATCCTCACATCCAATATACCCTTCATTTAACACAGGATCATGATTCAGAGTAAGAACTCTGGAGCCAGTCGGCAAATTCTCCGCTCTGCCATCAGAAGCCTTGTCAGGTATTAGCTGTGTGACTTTAGGCAAGTTTCTTCATCTCTCTGGGCCTCAGTTTCCACACCCGTAAAACAACCTTCCTTATTTGGTCATTACAGTGATTAAATTAATTAATATACACAAAGTGCTTAGAATAGTGCATGGCACCAAGTAAGCATTATAAATGTTAATTGTTTTTGTTATCATTATTATTCAGAAAGAGATTCTCTTAGGTAGTGATGGGGAAGAGAAATAACAGAATCTCTGTGGGGGTAGCTTTTCTAAGACCTTCTCCCTAAAACACTGGTTAACAAATAAATACATAAAATCTTAAGAAAAAAAAAAGAAGTACTGCTCTAGGCTAGCAATCCAAAGCTACTTCAGGCACTGGCAAAGTCATCTTCAGATGCAAGCATGGGGAGCAATCCCATTATAATTGATTATAGACCAAAAGTTACAAAGTGACTGCCTGCAGAAAGTATTTTGTTGGCTCCTACTGTTCTTTAAAAGGAAATAGGGGCGCCTGGGTGGCTCAGTTGGTTAAGCATCTGCCTTTGGCTCAGGTCATGATCCCAGAGCCCTGCATCAGGCTCCCTGCTCAGCTGAGAGCCTGCTTCTCCCTCTGCCCCTCCTCCTGCTCGTACTCTCTCTCTCTCTCTCAAATAAATAAAATCTTTAAAAAAAAAAAAAAGGAAATATAACTACTATAACACATGGTAGGCTTCTTTTGAATACACAGAGCTTGGCCCATATCATTTTATATCCAGACTACTTCAAGAACTTACATTACCTACCTGGCCCTGAAGACATCTGAATTTGCCATCCCAATTAGAGTCCCTAAGCTCCTTTTTCAGTACCGATATTCTTTTTTGGCGGGGAGGGGAAGGGAGAGGGAGAGAGGGAGAGAGGGAGAGAGGGAGAGAGAGAGAGAGAAGACACGGGGGGGGGCGGGGAGGGACAGGGGGATAGAGAATCTTAAGTAGGCTCCATGCCCAGCACAAAGCCTGATACGGGGCTCAGTCCCGGACCCTGATATCATGACTTGAGCTGAAATCAAGAGTCAGACTCTTAATCAACCGAGCCACCCAGGTGCCCCTCAGTACCTACATTCTTATCCTCAAGGGCCTATCACCCCCAAATTCTTATGTCTAGTACCACACGAAGGCTTCTTCTTTACTTTTTGGTTTGAGGGTCACACCAGAACTACAGTATCTTGTCTGGGATGATTTTCAGAGTATGGCTGTGAGAAAGACCACATAACTTGTCTCATGCACTACAAGCCATCAATTACAGGTACTTGCAACCTACAAGTATCCATATTCCAAGCTCTACCATTCTGTCAAAACAAGAAACTTTGTTTTTGCTAGAGGAACCAGGGAGAAAAAATTTAAGTCATGGTTACCAAAAATATCTTTTCTCCTTTAAATTTAAACAGAGCTTGAGACAATAACTGGTTACATCACCCTGATTAGCTGTTTTTTAAATTCAGTTTTCCATTGGGAAATGATAGCATGCCTAATATTGCTAGGCATGATGCAATACTTCCGTTGTTTTAACTAAAACATTATGAAGATAACTACTTTTCCTAAAAAGAAACAACAGGAAAGAAAGAGGTTGCATTACAGAAATGTTCATTGTTTCTCAAACCAGATACAATAGATACCTCTTAAAAATGATGCTCTGGAAAGAGTTCAAAGTGGCAGTCCAGGTGTTTTATCTGTTAGCCTCCCTTGGAGCTAATCAGTGCTAGTCACCGTATGTCCTTTCTGTAGCAAAGGTCTGACATAGGAACTCTGAAGACTGGAATCTGAATATCAGCTCTGATAAGATCCAAATGGAAGCTGGGGAAGAAGACTAAAAGGGAAATAAGAACCAAGCACTAGAGAGGGAAGGAGTTACACCTGTCAATTACTGCAAAGCCTCTGTGGTTCTCAGACCATCAATCCATCAAGCTTGTGGCAAACGTGGTGTGTGTGTGTGTGTGTGTGTGTCCTGAAATGTTGTTTCTTGACTTGGATGATGGTTTAACGTGGTGTGTGTGTGTGTGTGTGTGTGTGTGTGTGTGTGTGTGTCCTGAAATGTTTCTTGACTTGGATGATGGTTTAACGCGCGCGCGCGCGTGTCCTGAAATGTTGTTTCTTGACTTGGATGATGGTTTAACGTGGTGTGTGTGTGTGTGTATCCTGAAATGTTGTTTCTTGACTTGGATGATGGTTTACAAGGATACCTGCTTTGCAATAATCTATTATACTGTACAATATATATTTCACAATTGATGGTGTCCTTTCAGAGGCTTTACTTTAAGCTGATAAAGTGACTTAAAATAATCAGATGAACCAAGTGAAAGCAAGATCATGGATTAAATTTAACTACTATCTTGCTCTGTTCCTCAATACTTTCTTTTGTGATATACTTCATCTGATGTAAAAAGATAAGGATTACAATGGTAACTAAATCAAACTTCTAGGCTTACTAGCTTTTTGTGGGGGGTGGGGGTGGGCAGGGGAAAGCATGCTTTCATAAAATATATGCCTATATTCATCTATTAAATTTTAAATGACCTCACCAATTTACCTGTCTTTTTTGCTTCCAATCTTTGCTATTTCAATCATGGATCTGTTGATAGATAATGAACATATTCTGAAATATACAGATTTTGAAATCTTCTGCTCTAGGAATATCTGTTTTTCTCCCAGCAGCTACTGGTTTTTAGAATAAGAAATGATTAACTTGATTCTCATTCTTCTAAAGAATCTAACTGGACATCAAAGCTAGTATTACCTATTTTTTGACCTCCACTGAAATTCAGAAAGATCTAGAATAAAAATATGGACCTAATTATGCAAAGAGGAATGGTTACCAGCTCCAATATTGACTTGTCTAGGAAATTTACAGTACTTGCAGAAAGTGAATTCTGTTGTTCAAGTCTTCAAAGGTTTAAGCCCATAACTTCAACCTGCAGATCTTATGACTCATGGCTTAGGGGAATGACTGATTATTCAGAGTACTTGGGGTGGGAGATGAATATAGGGGAATTTAATAAATATTAAACTGACAGATATCAGTTTTATTCACCAGTTATTTTACTATCTTCAGATTAATATTTTCAAAAGGGTAAAAAAAAAAAAAAATGGGCCAGCCTCAGAAGAAAAGCGGAGTGGGAAAAACAGAACAAAACCAAACCATTGCAAATACACAAAAATCTAAGAAATGCAGAACGCATAGTGAGAGCTCAATAAATTCCAGTTGAACTGACTTTAACAGAGAGCTGGTTGAGCTCTGAACACCTCACTGCTCAAACCGCAGGTATCACAATGCAATTTGTCGGTTTACAGCTGTGCTGTGGGTACCATCTGAGGATCCAGAAATGATTAGTTTATGCAAAACAGCTAAAACCCCGCAAACCAGGCACTCTCCATGACTTCATGTAGATTTTAAAAGTCTTACACCGCTCTGCGAATATTAGCGAATTGGCAAATATTACCGAGCAAATGGAACATAGATTTCAAACAAAGACAAATCTGGAAGGCCACAAGTAAACGGAAGGTGAAACTAGCTCGCCCATTCTGTTGACCAAGGACTTCGTGGAATCCGCTCAACTTCTCTTCCCAATACAAAAGGTATTATTAACCCTTTGGGAGATTATAATTGTATCATCTCGTTGGCTGGGTGGGTGGGGCCACAAGTCAGAAAACTTGTTCGAGAAATCACACAATATTAACCCCGTCTTAGGCGGGAAATCAGCCAAAAAGCTATCAGGCCAAGTCCCTAAAACCCCTGAAACTCCCCAACATACATGCCTCCTTCCCAACCTCTGGGCTGAAGTTTACGCCGAAGCCCGAAACTACTAGCGCTAGATTCCACCATGTACCAGGCACGGTTTCACTCAGCAGCTTTCACGCAACTCTAAAACACCCGAACTGCAAAGTCCATGTTGCAGGGGTGACTAAGCCAGGGAAACCCACTCTCCAGAAGGCTTCCGCCTCGCACCCCAAGCTCCTTTTCACCCTGAGTCCCCAGGAGTGCATGCCCAAGAAAAGGAAATAAGGAGCCCAGGTCTTTCCTCTCCCGGAGAGGACAGACAGATGCCTGGAAGTTCCACGGGCCACAAATTCCAAACTTGAAGATTAAGGTCTCCTACAGTAGCGCCCGGCTAGTACTTACCGGTACGTTGTTGACACCCTGTCCTTTGGAAGCTATCAGGAGAATTTCCCTGAAATCCATGTTGTCTGAGGCAGAAACACTGGGCCAGGCTCTCGGAAAGAAGTGAAAGTACGCCTCACCGAGGCACCCAGCTACAGCCAAGCGAACTGCCTGGCCCACCCCTCTCCCACCCCTCCTCAGCACGACCACTTCCGGCGCCTTCCAATACCGTCTGCCCGCCCCTTTTCCTCTTGCGGCCTATATCCTTTCACGTCCGGCGCTCAGCTCGCGAGTCCCTGGCGTAACTTCCGCTTTCAGGCTCCAGACACGTAGAAACGTGGTACGTGGCGGCGGGCGTTAGCTCGGAGGGGCGGGACTAAGCCTTTCACCGACCAAGGAGACGCAGCCTAGGAAAATGAGGGGTGTGGCTAAGGGAGAGAGAGGCTTCCCTGGAGGCCGGGGCGCGCGACCCGACAATCTCGGTGTTCCTTGTGAGCTCTGAGTAGGGTGAGCGCGGGGGTGGGGGGGGTTACCTACCAGGCCTGGGTTCGCTGGGTGTCACGGGTGGGCGCTCAGGTCCGAAACGGCGGGGCCCCAACAGCTGAACCGACAGGTCCCGAGCGGGGGATTTCGGTTACCGGTTTCTAGGCGCTCGTGAGGTTGCGCAGGCGCACATGGCACCGACTGGTCCTCAGTCTTGGATACACATTACTCATCACGTCCTGGCACATGGTGTGTGCTTACCTACACAGATGCATGCATGTCATGTATAGAGGCGCAGGCTTAGTGCTTTTGCTTCATCTAGATAATAAGCTCCACGTAGTGGATGAATGAAGGAATTCTTTACATACAGACCCAGTCTGGACATATTTGGTGCACTGATGAAACATACATATATGCCCCATATTCATATTAACTGGGAGTCCAGTTTTGGGTTCCTTTTAAGAGTATCTGGGCCCTGTAAAGTTATCTCGTTCATTAAAACACACTAGACCTGGGGTGGGAATAAGCCACGACTGACTGCTAAGCAATTGGACGGATCTTTTCAGTGTGATGGAAATGTTCCCAAATTGGATCATGGTGATGATTGTGCTGTACATTTATTAAAAGTCACTGTACACTTAGAAAAGGTGAATTTTACAGCATGTAAATTAAATCTAAAGTTGTTTAAAAGTATTAAGCAAAGCTGCTTGGTCGTACTCTTTACAACTGAAGTTTTAATGCTGAGCTGAGGCCCTGACTGCATTTCTCCATTTAAGGCTGCCCCAACAACAGACCCAGATGAAGTCTTAGTCTGATGGCAGACCTGGAATTCTCAACCTTGTCTATTCTCTCTGAGGAGCCCAGCATAGCATACAGCTCCCCTATGCTATACATTCCTTTCAAATACATGCCCACCTACTTGAAGTGGTTCTCACTTGCAGGAGGCCAACTCCATCATAATTATAGATTTAGAAGCTTGAGTGTAATGTACTGAAAAAGCTAGCAGATCTCAGGAGCCTCAACTGTAAAAAAATTAAAACTAAGATTTTTGAATTTCCTTAAAGTGATTCTTTCTATTCAGCAGGTATAGTCATCTTTAAATGTTTTCTGATTGTTCTTAGGATAAAGACCAAAATGTTAATCCTAACTGTAGGATTGTAAGGACTGCCATGATTTGCCCTGGCTCACTTCTGTAACCTCATCAGCTCTACTTTTTCATTCCCTTATTTGTGCCAAGCTCTGTTCCACTCCAAGTCCTTTCCCCCTTTCTCCCCTCTGCCTGGTCTATTACCTCTAAACTTGCTGAGCCAGCTCTAACTCATCCTTCAGCACCATAAGCCTTTGGTGAGTGGTTATCTGGGTTTAAGCCCCAGTTCTGTTGATTCCTAGGTATCGCTTGACCTTATTCGGGGCTTGACCTCTCTATACATCAGTTTAATCTATAAAATTAAAATAACAACGATAGCATTGCTGTAAAATAATTCAAGTAAGCACTATAGTACCTGGCTGTTATGGGCTGAGTTGTGTGCCCCCCAAATTCATATGAAGTCCTAATCCCCAGGACCTCAGAGTGTGACCATATTCGGAGATAGGGTCTTTAAAAAGACAATTAAGGGGCGCCTGGGTGGCTCAGTCGTTAAACATCTGCCTTTGACTCCAGTCATGATCCCAGGGTCCTGGGATCAAGCCCCGCATCACGTTGGGCTTCCTGCTTAGTGGGAAGCCTGCTTCTCCCTCTCCCACTCCCCTTACTTGTGTTCCCTCTCTCTGTGTGTCTCTCTCTGTCAAATACATAAATAAAATCTTTAAAAAAAAGATAACTAAGTTAGAATGAGGTCATTAGAGTGGACCCTAATCCAATATGATGGGTGTCCTTATAAGAAGAGGAAATATGGACGTAGACAGGTACAGAGGAAGACCTTGTGAAGAACAGGGAGAAGATGACTATAAGTCAAGGAGAAAGGCCTCAGAAGAAACCAACCCTGCTTACACCTTGATCTCAGACCTCTAGCCTCCAAAATTGTGAGAAAAGAGATTTCTGTTGTTTAAGCCACTCTGTTGTACTTTGTTACAGTAGCCCCAGCAATTGAATACACTGGCATATGCTGAGTATTCAATAAATGTCAGGTATTATTTCTCAAGGAAGCACTTTCTGAACTAGTTCAGGACCCCTTTTGTGAATTCTTACAGCTCCCTGTGTTTTCCTTAATGGAATCTTTCATGGTTTATATTTACATGTTTGTGCTTTTTTCTTTCTAACTCTTGGTTATGTCATGCTAGATTGTAAGGTCTTTGAGAACAGGGGCCACGCTTATATTACTCATTACTATTCTCATCACCAGCACAGTTCCCTGTTCATGTACATAAAACATGATGCATATTTGAAAGTTGTTAAGAGAGTAGATATTAAAAGCTCATCACAAGAAAAAAATTTTGAAACTATGGTGACAGATGTTAAACTAGACTTACTGTGGTCATCATTTCACAATATATACAAATATTGAATCATTATGTTGTACACCTGAAACTAATGTTATATGTGAATTATACCTCAATAAATAAAGGAAAAAGACCTACTATCAAAAAACTTCTACATTTTGGGACCAAATTAATGAATCTTTAAATGAAAAGCCTTCAATATTCAATATCATAATAGCTAATATATATTGAGCCCTTACCACATATATATGTATGTATGTGTATATATATATATATATATATATACACACCCAATGCCTGACCTGGATATCATCTGATTTAATCACAAGTGCCTATAGTAAGGCACTTCTTGTTGCTATTTTATAAATGAAAAAAACTGGACTAATATACAATTAGTCAATGGGAAGCCAAGACTATCTGTGAGACATTAGCCACCATGCTAGACCACCTCTTCATATTTCAATTAGTCCATTTGAACTGGTGTAAATATATACACATAAGATCATAATCTAAGAGAGCTTAGATTAGGTGACTAATACATAGTTACTCAAAATCATCAAGAACAACAGCTGGAGGTGGGAGTGAAGTAAGGAATGATAAACTGATGAGGAATGAGAGGGAAGGCGCCATTTTCCTGTACCCAAATAAAAGAAAATGTATTATCATTGAATTCAGCAAATATTTCCTGAGGAACTACTGTGTGCCCAGCCCTACATACAATACAAAGAAAGGAAAAACCCAGCCCTTGCCTGGTCAGGGCCTTCATTCTTACATGAACGCAAGTAACGATATATTAACTGCATTAGGGTACAAAGTACTGGGGATAGAGTTGACAGATTTAGCAATAAAACAAGATGCCCAGTTGAATTTGACTTTCAGGTAAACAATAAAAACCACTAGAAACAATCGTTTATCCAAAATTCAAATTTAACTGGGTGTCCTGTATTTTCCCCAGCAACCGGAGAAGTGATAGAATTCCAGTTATAACAGGAGCAAAGACAAGGGAGGCAGGAAAGCACACAAGGGGATTCAGAGAACAAGTCGTGGATGTATTTAGAAGAAAATAAAGTCAGGAATAAGGGTAGGAGATAAGGCCAAAAAAGTAGATGAAGCCATATTGCGAAGGTCTTGAGAGCCAGGAGGCCAGGAGGAAGAGGAGCTAGGAAAAGACCAAGCAGAAAGGCAGGCAGAGAACCAAAGGAGTAGAGTGCAGTATTCCAGGAAGCAACGGCGAAGACTTGCCAAGGAGGAGGGGACAAGCTAATAGGTCTAGGCTTCACATGTCAAATGCTGCGAGGAGGTTCAATGGGAACAGGACCGTGAAGGTCAACTGAGTTGATCATAGGAAAATTAAAATCACGAGGAGGTACCCTTTTTACCCATCAGATTAACAAACTTCAAAAAGTTTGAAAATAAGCAATGTTGGTGAGGGTCAGGGAAATAAGACACTGTGGTGGGAATATAGATTACCTTAACCTCTTGGAGGGCAATTTGACAAACTAAAGAATTAATATAATATACTAAAGACCCATGCTATGTGTTTATTGCACACCAGGTGTTCTTCCAAGCAGTCTGTGTATATTAACTCAACCAGTTTTCACAGCAACCCTCAGATGGAGGTACTGTGACAGACGGGGAAACTGTGGCACAGAATGGCTAAGGGACCTAACCAAGTGCACCCAACTAGGAAGTGGCAGAGCCAGCACTTGGCTCCAGGCTTGTGTTCTGTTACAATATACTGGCTTTCTCGGTCAAAAGTCTAAAATACAACTACTCTAACACAGAAATTCCCTTTATAGGAGAATGTTCTACCAGAATATTCACACATGTGTGCAAAGGCAATTGAATAGAGTTATTCACTGCAGCATGGTTTGAAAAACAACCTGAATGTCCATTAGTAGGAGACTAATTAAATACATATTGGTACAACCTTAGAATGGAAAACTATGCAGCTCTTACAAAGATGGAGGCAGATCTATATGTCTATTTCTGAGGTATACGGTTATCAATCAATATCAATCTCTGAGATATATGGTTAAGTGAAAAAAGCAAGATGTAGAACCACATGTGCTATTAAGGGGGTTAGAAATGAATATAGATATATATATATACACACATCTATCCTTGTACGTGGAAAGATTATCTTCGAACAGATGGGTGCCGAGAGG